GGAGGTTTGGGGACACTGTGAGGTGGCCTGGGGGGCAGCTATGGTGGGACACACATGGAATGCTGGGGGGCCACAGGGTTTGGGGACAGTTTGGGGGGGACATGGGGAGGTGTCTAGGATGTCCGGGATGGGGGAATTTGGGACGGATGGGCTGTGGGAACACTGGGGACAATTCCTCGAGGGGAGGGCTGGGATGGGGGAGTATTTGGAGGGGCAGATGGGGACACGGGAGGGCTCCGGGGGCCCCAGGGGTTGGGGGAGGGTCCGGGGGTGTTTTGGGGGGTTCGGGGGGGGCACTGACCCAGCGGATGAGCGTGGCGTAGGTGTAGGGGGGCCGTGCAGTGCTGAGCCGATAATACTCCAATTCTGGGGGGGGTTGGGGGGGTCAGCCGGGACCCAGCCCCACCCCTGGTTATTTAGGGGGGACACCCCCGCATCYCCCAAACCCGGAGCTCACCTGGGCAGAGCCCCCCGAGCTCCCAGGGGTGCGCCGGGAGGGGCAGCATCATCTCAGGGTCCCCCTCTGCCTCGGGGGGKGCTGCAGGACCCCAAATCGGGGGGAGCCCAGCCTGGCCCTTCCCGAGGGGGCCCTGGAGGGAGGGGGGGCACACAGGTGAGGTGCTGGCACTGCTGGGGGGGGGTCCCAGCCCCCCGTCCCCTGTTTTGGGGTGTGTTCCCCCCTTACCGTGCTGGGGGGGGCCCTCCGGAGGAGCTGCGCCTGCATCAGCCCCAGGCGGTGCCTCTCGCGGGCCAACTGCGGGGAGGACAGGTTTGGGGGGTCCTGGGGGGGCACAGGCTTGGGGAAGGGAGTTGTGTTTCTGTTTCTCCCAAATCGGGGAGTGCCCAGCCTGGCCCTTCCCAGGGGTCCCTGGGCGTCTCAGGACACTTGGGGATCCCATGGCACTTGGGGAGGGGATGTTGGGGCAGGATTTGAGGGGTGTCAGAGTGGGACTGGGGGAGTCCAGGGGGGATTTTTTGGGGTCCTCCCCACCTGTTGCTCCAGCTCCTGGATCCTCTCCAGCTGCCGCAGGCACTGAGCCACCTCCCCCGGCTCACGGCGGGGGGGCCTGGGGAGAATTTTTGGGGATGGGGGATGAGGACCAGGGTCCGGGGTCCCCCTAAATCCCCCCAAGGCCCCCACTCACCTGGGGGGCTGCGCAGCGCCGGGGGGCGGCGGGGGCGGGTCACTGCTGGCGGGGGCGGGTGAGGGGTCTCTGTCACGGCCAGGGGGGTCTTTGGGGCTCCATTCAAAACCGGGGAGACCTGGACGAGTTTT